ATTTTCTAACAAACTTATAAACTATATTAAATTCCCTGTACTTCACAATATTTTGATTAATGGAGAATTGTTCCGCGACATTTTGCACACATCGAAGTTACAATGTAATCTAACCAAGCCTTCACAAACAAATCAGTTTGCAGAAAAAGCGGTGTGCGGGCGGGCGTAGTGCCGCTCCAACCCACACACCTGCCATATGGAGAGGGGCTTCGCTATCTCCAGGGCAGATAGCTAATACGGGCGACGCACGCGAGGCGCCGAATGCTATCAAACGTCGCGTGTCGCACACTGGGTTGAATACGTATTTTCTTCGATACAAATACTGCGGCAAATATTTCTCTCAACAAAGGCAGTCGCTAAATTGAAATCATCTACCCATCGAGTCTTGGATCATTTTTACGTACACTCGTGTCAATATACACGGGACAACCGATTTTTATCGAATTGTTCCTCTGGAGAGAGCTCTGCGTCCTTGGTTCTGAACAGACCTTCCAAATCGGGGTTGCGAATCGAGTACATCGACAAAATCGATTAATTTCATACTTCGAAGAATACGACGGTATTTATAACTATTTAGGTGTAATATATCTTAATTGCGACTGATGAGCATCTTTCACGTGAGACTGCGATCGCTGCAACTGGATTCGCCATGCAGGCACTCTCCTTCAGGTCCGAGAGACGCGGTCGAACGCCCCCTCGTGCCGGGCCGCTTGCCGCCCCCGCCGCACTTACGTATACGAGCGGGGCGCGCCGAGGAAGCCTTGCGCAACGAGGGACGATGGCCCGCTTCAGAGCGGCGGAGGCGGGGGCGGCAGCGCCGGCGCCAGCCCGTCGATTGCCCTTATCCTCGTGCGGTGATGCTGGCACGCGACTCAGAAGGGAGCATCGTCGTGATGGGATGTGACATTTCAGGAGCGTAAAAGGAAAAGAGAAACAAACGCGACCATTTTTTTTAATTTCCATGCACTGACGAAGACAAACCAACTCTTCTTCCTCTTACGTAATTTCGGAGTGGTGCATTAGTTCCTTAGTTGAGCTGGTATACTGGTCAATTTCTACCTTTAAGCAACAAAGTTTGGGACCGGCGAATCTGGTACTAGCACCTTCTTCGCCGCTACATGTCCGTACGGTTTTATCCTGACGACGTACGGTCCACTCATATGATTTTTATTTACTTATTTTTTATTTTCGGTTTTGCTGCTGCTAGGAATCTCCTAAAAGGTCCAAGATACACGAACTCTTAGCTGCACTATTGATGTAGGTTGCTGTATACGTGTAATAAATTATTCAAATTTTGAGAAATGAACTTTGACTTCTGCGACTACAGTTTCAATTCCAGAACATGCAGGATACAAAGAATGAAAATAAACGTTTATTACTGGTTTCCACGCGACATTACCGGTCTACCCTTCTCCACCTTTCATTCCAGATCTTTCTCGGCATTCACTATAATATCCAGAGAGCAAATTGGTAATTTTCTTCTAAGGGACGCTCAAAATTTTGGAAACGGACGAATGGATGACAGCAGCGAAAACCATCTTTATTTACGCTGTTGTAGTGTGGATCCATAAAATTTATTTACTAGGGCTATTTGTAAATTAATTGGTACAGAACACATTACTAGTTTTCCAGATGATATGAAACTCTAGGGAGACGATCCCCGGCAACCCCCCCTCCTCTGTCAATTCACATCATCATTCATCCGTAATTATCCCAGAAAAATAAGAAGACTCTCGTAAAGAAAAGGAATCACTGTTTAATATTCTAATAATAACTAATAATTCTAATAATGACGCAAGAATACCAACAACAACAAAAAAGATTTTGGGTTCTAGGAAGATGAATATTTTGTAAGTAAATAGTTTACACATGATAAAAAGGCAAATCGATTTCGAAAGTTTTAGGAAATTAAAATTTTTCTATCGTTATAATCTAAAAGATGCTGGAAGTTATTCCACAAGCGACGGTTGTTCCTGGACATTGCTTCAAAAGGAAGCGTATTTTTTCCTTTCTCCACCCTCACTCGTGAGCATGAAGGCCACGAAGAATCATACCTTCTTGAACGAATCTCATCCTTAAAATTGCTTCCTACAATTCCCAGCGGTCACTGGAGGTTAAACAATGCAAGTTTGCCATAATGAATCACTAAAACCCCACTAGTACGAACGTACGTTTCATAAATGTTATTGGTTAGGTACCCCAAAAAATATATACAATTTCACGTACATTTTATAAATTAATATCATTGGAATTACAGTGCAATGCAGTAAGTAATGCCATTTCTACCACACTTTTTAAAATGTTGCGTAATGCAGTACTTTACTGACAAATAAAAATGTATTCAATAAATTATTTTCATGTTTTCATTTCCTTTTGCTTTCTTGTATACGTACGTGGTAATTCACTTAGTGTAGAGAAAGTTATGTAATGCTGCCAAAAATCCATTTCGAGATTTCAACGGAAATGCACATATTGGGGTCCCCTAATAAGGTAAAAGTGTTGTTGTTGTGAATGTTTTTTTTTTCCACTCCAGAAAACGTCGATCTTTCTGAACAACACTAGCGCCTAAAGTTTTTTTTTTTTTTTTCTTTTTTTCTTTTTTTTCAAATTGAATACTCCCCGGTCGATCTGGCTCCACTCGAAGCTCTGCAATTTTGAATAACATTCTTAATATTTGATGAATAATATTTAATATTTGAAGGTACCTTTCATGTCGTCCCTGAGACATTTTGAAAAATTTCTCGAAAATGGTTCCAACTTTTTGCATGAAGAGAGAAAAAATCCCTTATACAGATGGCGTAAGCCCGATTTTCACAGTAAAATCTAAAATTTCGAAAACCGAAAATTTGCACTTTTTCGACATCTTCCTAGAACTACAAAAATTAAAGATACGGATTTTCCCTTCAAATGGAATGTCTTTCATAATTGTTTTTTCATTACGGTAATGCATTTTTTTTGTGAAAATTTTAGTAGTTTTCGCGCAATTTGAATGAAATTGTGCAATATAAAAAATATCAAAAAGAAAAATTTCTCAAAAACTGCTCTAAATTTCTTTAAACTCTGGTGGGGATATAAATGTAGTGTAACATAACTTAAACGCCATTTTGCTCTATTTTGTTTTTTCCAAAATGTCACAAATTATTTTTTTTATATGAACATACCGCGTTAATACCAGCAATTTGTATACAATAGTGTATTTATGAGTACAATCACATTGAATAATTTCTTATGAATTATCTCGAAAAGTCATAAGGTTTAGTTGCAAATGGGCTTCAAAATTTTCTGAAACACGCAAAAGTTTGTTGTTGATTTTTTTTCTTCCCAAAAACGACATCAATGTTTTCAATGAATTTTCCACACGGGACGAGGTTTTACGCTCTTATAATATTCTTAATATCATGTGGGAGTTCTTCCATTAGGATAAGAAAAATGTATACATGTGAAAAACTTTGGTTTGGGTGGCGATAGATGACAGCTGAGAAAAGAGTGGGACAAAACCGAAAACCTAACTCACCACAAAGAAAATTGAAAATTAACAAGTACGAGAAAGACTGAATCATTCTGTAGCACCACTACTTAACTTCTGAGGAAACTTCCGTTGTAACAATGCTAACCGATCCACTAAAGAGAAAAATCAGAAAACAACACTCAGCAACATCGCCCTGCCTTCGGCTCAAGTGACATTTTACTAGAAAACACTTTGTCCGAATTATGCTTACAAAAAACAATTCGTATTCACTAACCTTAACAAACTACTCTCACAAATAATGAACTTAGAAATGTCATTATTATATTTACAATCAAAGATAATTGATTTTTTGGCCAAAACTTTCACCAATGCGCATATTGCTTAAGTATTTTTCGCACATTTTGTTTTGAAGGGGAATATTACTTTGCAAAATAAATTAATTTAAAAAAATCGATTACTAGCTTCAAATAATTACTGGGACGTTGTAATTTATCAAAAAGAGTGAGTTGAACGCTGTAATTATAAAATTGTGGCAAAGGTTATTTCATTTAATCACCGGAAATAATTCCGTAAGTAGACGCCACCTAACCATCAAAATATGTTGTCATTATTTATTTTAAGAAATAATGAAACTTACTAACTTGACACTTTGCAAATTTTCTAGGTAAATTGCACATTTTGCGAGAATACTAGTGTTGCCCAAATTAAGATCATTATTTAAATTTTACACGGGTCTTGGGGCTTAAATAATTAAAACAGCTGACTGCAAACCAATATTATTAAAGATAGCGTAAACTAGCCATGGATAATTTACAATTGGCATATATTGTATCATTTTAGTACTTATTATAAAATGTTGTGAAATAACATAAATATTCTCTTATTTTACTACAATATAAGCTGTGCATTATTTTTAACCAAAGAAACGTCTGGGAACAAATTCCAGAAATATTCAAATCGTAACAATATGTCCGACTGGGCACAATAATTTGTAATACGCTCTGAATTTAAGCGAATACAACACCAACGCCGGCTAAAACTGCTGTGGTTTGACCTCGTCCTGTGCTTTGCATTCGAGTTTTGTTTCTCGACGAAGTACACATAACTAAACTGAAATTTCGTCCGAAATTTCACATAACAATCCGGATTTCAAGAATTCAACCACAATCCAGCATTCCCATGCTGGACCGGATCGACTACGAACACCGCATGGAACTCAAATTTTCAGACAACCTGTGCCTCAGGAATGTCTAAACCCAGCGATGCAAGGCGCGTTGCGTAAAATGATTGTAAAGGGGTAAGTGAGGCGCGATGCATGGGTGCATCACTAGAACACAAGACTTAAATATGACAGAAGAAGATGCAATGCGAGAAAACAGCGAATCTCTTATGACTATGACAAGTACCATGGAGTCACCAACAATCGAGAAAACAGCTGATGTCAGATGTCAACGAGATAACCGTGATGACACGACACGTCTAAGATCAGCTCCCATTCAAATTTGCACTGTTTTTATGCTGTCATACTCACGTTTCGCCGCTGCCAACAGATCTTTCAATTCCCGGATCAAACCCTTGATTTGATGACTTGTCCGTTGAAGTTCCTGCTCGTGCGCATGTAACTTCTCTCGGAAATATGGGCTGTCGCCCAAACACTCGTAAAATTCCAAAGGTTTTAGTCCCACCCCCATCGCGGAGAAAGGTTTGTCTAAGTCGTAACGACACTGATGCTGAGAGAGGAAGTTCCGTGAAATCCTGCTCACACAACCTTCGCCTTTGCCGACGTCAAACACATCCTACCCGCACAATGGATGGCCATCAACTGAAGACTGAGCGCGGGCTCCCAGCCGCCAGAGCGCATGCGTGTTCGCATAAGATTATGTCGCCACAGAAGAGCGCCAACTTTAAATGCCGCGTATCTGAACTACAGAGAACGTATAAATATACATAGGTACATTGTGTAGCGCTTCCAGCGCCAACTGTGAGAGAAAGCTGGATATATAATCTACATAATCTAATATATATATATATATATATATATATATATATATAGTATATATATATATATATAGATATTAATATATATATAGTTTTATTACAAATGGTATTAGAAGGCGTTGGTTGTTACTTCAGGCTTGAACTACCAGTCGTTGAAGTGCACCAATCGTTCAAAACACTACACATTATTTCTATAATCAGCAAACATTTTCTATATTTTTTATTTCGTTAGATGCAAAAGGAGGATGAAGATGACTTTTATTTTGATAATTGTTCTGTAAAATCAAATGTGGTTCATTATTCAATTCAAATAGTTTCTATTACACATGACCAAAAAATGTATTGTAATCACAGTGATAGACAATTTTGGGACTGAATAATACTGAATCGTAACCCCCCCTCCTTCCAAAAAAAATTAAAAATGTGGAAGTAGTATCAAGAAACTAAGGGTTATTTTATTACAACAAATAACAAAAACTAAGTTTATGAAAATATTTTTGGAAATAAATTGTAAATAATACTTTTAAGCACAATTATTTAGTGATCTAATAGTGTTTAGTGATACAATTTCCACAGTAAGCTTAAATTCCTATAAAAAAAATTGTTGTGTTTAGTTAGTGTGTAATAAAATAATTTTTTAAATATATGAAATAATAAACATGCATTTCAGTAGAACCTATTTTGATGTAAGCGTCATTTGATTACATACATTTTTCCAGTTCATAGATTCATACAGTAAATGTAACTCTCATTATTTGAAACATACATATTTTGGAATATGATTATTATTTAATAAAGTTAATTTTTGATCAATGATTTGCAATCATATTATTAATTTTCAACATTGGCAATATTATTCATTTTTTTACAGCAATCATAAATGGTACTAAAATTATGAATTTGTTTACATAAATTATTCTTAATAATAGTTATTATATTAAATTTATTGCTGTTGACTCTTTGTGAATCCTGAATGTCAATGGTACCAATCAATATATTTTGATCATATATGTAGTTTTCAATTGATAAAAATTATAAATGGAATATCACTGTCTGAAACAAACACATATTGAAAATTGAAATATGATTAATGTTCAGTATAGTTAATAATGATATGAAATCATTTTGCTGCATCAAATAGAAATTTTTAAGAGTGTACGATTATTTTAACATTAACTTAATTCACTTACACCTCTTAACCAAACATCAGAATGTTACAAAAAATTAATACATCATTCAAAACTTTGGGTTGCTTCATACCTGCAAACTTTTTATTAACATTCACCATCCACAATTCAGAATATTCAGTTGTAAATTTCCAATGAAAATACATGGCAAATATCTGTATAAAATAATTTTACAAATATGTGTATTAAAATATCTTGGATGTCAAGAGAAGAAAACGTGAAGGCTGAAATTTGCAGGCTAGGTGAGATTCCCCTCCTATGTTACAGTCGTTAAATTCTTAATATTGATGACCCATTATCTCAAACTACTGGAGATACTAATTTGAAATTTTTACTGTACATTATCTGTACTATTGTTGTTGCACTGATCTACATTGAAAAGAATTGTTTCGCAGAGTTGGAAATTGGCAGGAATCAGAAATATGTTTTTTTTCTTGGACCTCCATTTTTTTAATATTTAAAGACATATTTATTTATAAACTTCAAACAAATAATGCAAACTTCACATAGATCCACAGCTTCACGTTGTCTAAGTTGAGTAATCTGTGAAGAAACCAAGAAAGTGGGCTTAATAGTTTATGAGAAAATAGGGCATTTTAACAAAAACTGTGTTTTGAGAAGAACGCTCCTAAAGTTTTTACTAGAAATTACTCAGTAAATTTGTTTATTATTTTATGTAAAAACAATCTGCTCTACATTGTGAATAATGCTCATTATTGGCGATATTGAAGCTGTTTTCTCTTCTTTTTCTGGCTTTTTTGGTAATTTTCTCCACTGAAATCTCTGCAGGGAGGGGGGGGGGGACTTGACTGAACCAATTCTGGAGTTAAGATTTTCATAACTAAACATATTTTTTGCATTACATACATTGTTAACATTACTAATGGTCTTTACAATTTAATTAATTTCCTTTGTTCACAAGCTATTTACAACACCTTTCAGTTTTGTCATTTGAATTGAACTAGTTGACATTTCTTTCACACAGCAGGCTATCCCACTAGAGAGAGAAAATTACTCTTAACTTTAAGAACACACAACACACTCATCAAATTGCATAGATAAACACAATAATATGAAACTGAAAACCACAGCTTTCAAGAGCTAATAGTTTCAGAACTATGTTTATGTAAAACCATGGATCTTCAGAAACTTCAGCTTGCCTGTTTTGATGCACATTCAACACACAATAAAATAAACAAAACATTTTTTCAATGAAAAATATATCAAAATATTTGAAATAGTTTACAGATTACTTTAAGATTTAAAAACAAAATTCGATATTCTTCTCATTTTTCACGTGGAATCTTACCTTAAAAAGCTTTCAATGACAGAATTATTTTGTACAATTTTCAGAATTGTCTGACATGTTTCATTTCATTGAATCCTATAAGAAATTACTATAGGTATGACTATTTAGGTAAAAAATTAATTGAAAATTTTATGAAATACCAAACTACTGTATCACGTCTTATAAAATTTATGAAAACAATTGTCTCAAGTACTGATTTCATTTTCAATTTTTTACTAATATTTTTTCCATCCAGCCCCAGGAGATCGTCTTGTCCATGCTGGTTAATCAATGTCAATGTTAATCAATGCGGCGGCGATGGTGTAACGGTTAGCGTACCAGACTGTTGTACCCAAGTTCGCGTGGTTCAAACCCATTCGAAGCCGTGGATTTTTCAGGGCGAAAAAAATCCTTTGTATGCCTTCCTGCGGAGGGGAAGTAAAGCCGGCTGTCCCATGTTAGTAGATTTACTTGCATGTAAAAGATCCTCAAGCCTAAATGACGCCTCTGAGCTAAATTCAAATCGCCTGTTTCTCGCCCTAGAAATACCTCCTTTCTCTGCTAGTTGATGAAAGGAGTGTAGCAAAATTTGCATGGTCAGACGGAAGAGCGGGCCTGATGGCCCAAGTCTCGCCATGTAAAATAAGGCAAATTTAATTCAATTCAATTCAACAATGCTCAACACATTCATTCGTATTCATAATTCATATTCACGGTAAAGGAGGAAGCTCAAAGAAGGTGCACGCATACAAATTGAACACAAATAAATGGTTTACAGTTAACTTTAGTATTTATTGCCTTGTTTCATTACACAATACTCAAATATAGTAATTATGTTATATTTATCAGTCAGTTAAAGCCATAGCTTTATGTTAAAACTTACATTCTCTTTACAGATGGTATTGGGTACTTATTTAATAATCAGTTCGGCAGCACTCAATACAAATGAAAAGTACACATGAGAAATAAAGGCACACACAAAGGTCACACACAGGTTTGTCAGTGGTTTTATGAAGCTCCTTCAATAGCTACTTCAGTCTGAGTCTGAACAAAGAAAGGTCCTTCTTTAAAAAACTCTCTTAAGCGGGTAAATGTTTCAGATCCAAATACAGACAAACCAGTAGGAGATTCCACAATAACCTTCACAACTTCATATTTAGCATCTTTACAGTATTTATGTGTCTCCATTCTGCGGTCTAATAGGAACTCTACAACACCTGTAACAATTAAACAAAAACAACAACAAAAATTTAACTTAAAAAAAAACTCAGGAAAGGAATTTACCCAACATTATGAATCAAAAGAAAGTGATATTGAATTATAATTGGTAAATAAATTAATATAACTAATTCAAAAAATATTTTCTTTCTTTTAATTGTATACCTGGCTGTTTCTTAATTAACTCCTGTCCCCATTCTTGTTCTGCAAGTACCTTGAGTACTTGGACACCCGCTAATCGAAGTTCAGGAAAAGGCTGCTGGCAAACACTCATCACTAAGGTCATGGGCTCCTCTGATAACCAATTAAAAAATTCTTTTGTTATTTGCAAGGACTGAGTCTCTTGAGCATCAAGCTGAAATGAAAGAAAAATCTTGAAAAATAAAAAAGTTCATGTTCACAAAACCAAAGACTTCAAAAATTCTTATCTGAAGCTAAAGGGAACTTAGGGATTATATTCCTTGATTAACTCTAGATCAAGCAGACATTTCAACTGTTTTACGATTTCAGTTCCTCTGTGTGTCTACAATAATTGATTTATTTGGGTGACATCATGTAACTTAGTATTGCTTTATCGTTCTGTAAACTCCTGATGTAAGGGTATTTTAACATCTTGGTTTCTGAGATAAAACTTAATTATTCTTGGTTTAGCGAGATAAGGTTCCATCTGATTTGAGGCAATCAAATAAATGAACTTTTAATTATTTTTTAGAAGACCTGGTAAGGATTATATTAGTCCACAAAACATTGTGTATGCTTACTTTAATGATGAATAAATAAGTAAATAAATGTTCGTACACCAATTACTAAATTTACATTTAATTAAAATTATAATGAAGTGAAACCTTATCTTCAAATAACTGCTCAAATTCAATGCATTTGGAACGCTACTAAATTTCTTGTAATTCTGTTTATTGCCTCATTTCTTACTACAAACATTCTTGAGAATATCACATTTCAAACATTGATGAACATATTATTATATTTATTGAATGATTTGATGCTTAATTTGTATACAAATGTAAATGATGACAATTCTGAACTATTAAAGCAAAAATTGTAAGTCAAATTACTTATCTGATACATAGAAAAACAGCCTGATCTAAGTGGTCAAGATACAGATATGAAATGAAATACCAAGAAAATAAATGTATATAAAGAGTAAAAATACATCATAAATCCAAAATATATTCTCTGAATAACTAATGAAGTTCCTCAAAATAAATCAATAATAAAGAAAAATTTATTTGAACCTTTATTTTCAGTACTCTGCTCTTTATTTTCAGTACTCTGCTCTTTTTTCTGCCATATTTTTTGTATTAAGAATTCAATGTTTCTTTTGTACTTAAAAACAAAATTGTTCTACGAAGAGATTATGAACCTCTATTGTGATAAATGAAATCTCTCTTTTTTCAAAAATATTATTTTCATTTAGTATAAGTACAGAAAACTTGTTAACACGAATGCCAAAGAACTAAAATAATCATTAATAATTATTATAAAAATTTGTGTTATCCAATTTTTATATAGTATATCCTCAATGCTACATTTCTTTGGTGGTAAAAAAATTTTTGTTTGTTTGATGAGGAACTGCATGTTAAGCAAGTTTGTACTAGCAAGACTTTACTGTATATTTAAGTACATTTTGTATAAACAAATTTGCCTTCTGTTAAAACTGAATCCTATATCTACTGAACTTTTCTATTTATATTTTGTCATTTTTCCCAACATCGTCTTAAAAATTATTAAAACATCATTCAAATATTCTAGAAATTGCGTAAGATCACTTTGAAAGATAACTATACGTGAAAATTAGATGAAATCTCTAGTTAATGGTAAATACTGTTTCATTATCCCGTAACATTGAATATTGTACTACTCAATGTGTACCATAGAGATTTTTCTCTGAATTCAATTATTCCATATGTTCAATTTTAGATATGTGATATACATAATACAATTACAATTACTAAATAAAATAGATTACGTATAAGAAAAGTTATTATTACTACCTGTTTTCTCTGTTAAACGATGAAATAAAATAATAAACATAATATATAGAATTGTTTCAGTTTATTACATATATATGTTGTTTTTGTTTTTTTTTTCCATTTATTTAATTTTTATATTTTCTTGAGTTTTTATGGTTTCAATTTTATTGCAAGTTAAAAACATATTATACATATATATGAGTTGTATTATGTTGGGAAATATCATTGAAATATACAGTCCAATTGGAAGCAAGTTATATGTTTGTATCATTCAATATATCGCATTTAGTAGTAAAACTCAATTACAGAGTACAATAAGAATCAAGACTTTTAACTTGTATTTCAAATTAATAAAACATTATTTAGATTTAAGAATTTTCTTGTTAAAAAAAAAAGAGAAAAACTTAAATGAAGTTGCATAGAAGTGACTACAGGCAGAAGAAGATAGTAGGTTTTGTAGCCATTTAAGTAAAACTTCCAAAGAATTTCCTATTTTTCCTGGGATCTTTAGTTAATAACAAACTGAATGAGGCTCTTCACAGTATTCCAGGAGCTACAGTTCTTTCCCAACTTTAACTCATATTTACCCTACATATATAAATTTACAAAAATGCTTAAGTACCTTCAAAATAAAATTGAATTTGAATGTATGAACTTTTAACTTTTGAGTAATTTAACAGAAATGTTTCATGTTTATGAGAAACATTCTACAAAGTGATACTGAAGTGAATAAATATTTCTCTTTTAATAATTTACTTTAAACTATTTACTGTACTTTACTGCAATGTATGCAGTAAAAGCAAGCCTGCCATTGCCTCACTTGTTTCATTGTTATCATTCTTCATCAATGCACTCTTAGTGCACCGTACCTTTACTCCGCAAGCATCTTTTGTCCCCTGTCAACAACGTTCTATAATTTTTATCTCCTTTTTTCAAAAAATTCTTAAATTTCCCAATTAAGATTTGGATTTTCTTACACCTCATATTCTCAATGTCTCCGTTTGATTTGCATTTCCATGCAATTCATTATATTTCACAAGTTATTTGACATTAAAGTTATGTTTACAAATGCCAAAAATCCTTTTGGGTGTTTTGCCTTGCCTCACTATACTATTATGAATTAAATTTTCTCTTCAAAATACAATACATTTTAGACTCAAAAGTTCTGAAAATAGTTTTCCTTAAAGAATGAATAATCTTTTCATACCTAAACATAAAACAAAAATATAGCTCAATGTTGATGTGAAAACTTCCTTCGAAAAAGTGAACATTTCTTTTCTACAAACCTTAAGTTCGATTATGTTGGCCATTGTGTTGAGAGCACGAACTCGAGAAAGGTGAGGGAAACTCTGAATGCCATTTGATATTTTCTTAATTGCTTTTTTCATTAGGTCACCTTAAAAACAAAACATTGTGTACTTTAATATTATTAATGAATAATATCATTATTAAAATGTATAATAAGGACTAATAAATTGTGTATGATTAAATTGCTTTAAAAATTATTTACAAACATTTACACAAAACTCATTTGTCACTGCTTTCACAAAAGCATGCACAGATTCAAGCAATCCTGCTAGTTCACACATACACACAATACAAAAATGAACAAAAAATTATACTTAAGGTATTGCAGAAGTAGCAAATTGGTAGTATGTGGTAGGGATGTGCTGTGTTAGTTTAATGTAATACACTGTTTTGAAAGATTTACTTTTGTGATACTCATCTAATTCAAATAATAGAAAACTCAGAAAACTCAGAGACAAATTCAATTGAGAAAGGTGGTGTATAGGTATCAACATTTTTGGGAAACAAAAATCTGCAGAATCGTAAGTATTGAAAATATTTATATCTAGACATCTTTTTCTCAAATAATTTCCAGGTATTAACCTCACCTGGAATATTATTAGTATTAACAAAATACAATTGCTTAGCAACACTGTTCATCATATGAAAATGCAATAACATATTTAAAGTGAATTTTTAACATTTAACAATCAGTTTACTCATGGATAGAGTAAAATATTTCATTTTATGAATTATAAAATACTTATATTGAGACTTAATCTGTTCCATTTCCAATGCTACTTAAGTTTAATACACTTACAATAAGAAAAATTTAGTAGGAAAATAATTTTTTCTGTCAACCTTTACAGTGGTTCTAAATATACAAAAGAATTGCACAAAAACAAGCTCAAAGTGCTTAAGTTTAATATGATTGACATATTTGAAAAGCTTTGTTTCTTTCCATTGCAGATGTAAAAAACCTAGATGATCTCTAAATCACAAAAAGGAATGTTCTTGATTTCTTTCTCAAGTTATTGAAGGGCAATATAAAGAGTAAATAAAATAAACAATTCTACAAGGAATACAATAATCTGTTATGAAATAAATTGTTATAATATAAAACATATAATCTATTCTGGAAATGAGTTATAATTACAGTGTAATGGAAATAAATGCAACAACTAATAACACAAACAATAATAATAATAATAATAATAATAATAATAATAATAATAATAATAATAATAATAGTAATATTACTACTACTACTACTATTACTACTACTAATAATAATAACACCCAATTTATATTTACTTATGTACTTTTTAAACAGTTTATCATCACCAAAAGAATTTTAAAAGTAATACACACACTTTCTTGAGAAACTATCAGAATATTACAAACTATTAGCACTTTTTTATCTTAGTCCAGTGAACAGATTTCAATTTGACTTACCCAAATTGTAGAGCATATATTTGCCTTCCACGGATGTTGCAATGTAACCAATAGTCTCCATAGCAACTCCTAAGAGAACCATATCTGAGGTGTCAAATGTCTCAAAAAGAGCTGCGACCATTCTTGGATACTCATTAAAGAATTCCTTTGGGTTGCTTTGTGCCAAATTGCCAAAGAATTTTATCAAACCTATAACAGAAAATAATTTTAAATCCATTAAATCCTAAATAACTGGTAATCCTTATAACAACCAATGTACCAAGGTTTGGAACTAATGATGGAAGTCTCTTAACAAATTAATATATGTAAACTAATTGTACTGTGTAATATTACATGTTAACTAACAGAACATTTGATTACTAGCAAAATACAAACAACAAGCATCCAAACAAAAAAACATATTACGAAGGTATAGCATGAACACAGGACCAGTTTTTCTCAGGAGAGACAGAAAATATCATTGTTTTAGGACATAGTCAATTTCATCGATAGTTTCCAAATAAAGACAATAAGATATATATTTCTCTATTTCTTCTGAGGTAGTAACGTTAAAGAAATTGTGATTTATTTATTCCAATGTTACACAATGTTTTAGAGATTGAGTGTGTCTCCATTTTCAGGTATAAATTAGTAACTACAATACAAGATTAAAATATACAAATATTTTACAAACTAAATTACATGAACAATCTTACGGCAAAGGAATAAAACACATGTGCACATACAAGATATAGGTTGATTGGAAGCTTACTTTTCATTGTCATAAGTTTAAATTATTACCATATGAAGTGTTCAATAGTTGTTGTTATTACAAAACTATACAATATTATACATATACAATATTATCACAAATGTTATTACAAAATTACTTATTTGAAGTATTTAGGATCATAAAGTCATGTCATTTTCAAAATCAGATCAGTGTTACTCATTGGTAAGGTTATATGTAGTGAACATTATTTAAATAAGTATCCATCAGAAGCTGCTTATGGAGAGATTGCTGGACAGACAGACAGTTTCTGCAAGGAATTTTTCTCCTTGTTTTGAAGAAGATGGTTTCCGTGACAGACTAGTTTTCGGCAGCGAAGAAAACTTTCATAGGAGTGAAAAGTGAACAAACAAAATGTTTGCAATTGGGGAATAGAAAACTCCCATTGTTATGAGAAATATGTGACTCCCTCAAAGTTAATGTGTTTTGTGCTGTAGCAAAGTGGAAGGTCAATTCGTACAGCCCATACTTCTCTACTGAACACACGGTATCAGGGATGATTTATCTGGATAGGCTTTCAGAATGGTTGTAGCCTCAGTCAGTAGACAGGGATGATTTTCTATTGTAAGAGGATGATGAACCACCTCATTTCCTCAGACATTGAACTGCATTTTTAATTAACCAACTATCACAGCAGTGAATTGAACATGGGATGGACTGCGATGAGATGCTCTTATCCTGGTTACCACCTTCACCAGACCTCACATAGTGTGACTTTTTCCTATGGGATACATTGAAGAAGTCTTTATCCCTCCTCTACAGAAGGGGGGAAGGGGTTCTGGAACTGAAGCAGTGCATCCAAACCAGCTTCCTAAGTTTAAGCACTACTGTTCAGGTGTTGGAGCATTTGGGAAGAGATAGTCTATTGAGTTGATGAGTCAAGTGACAAAGACTGGGAGAGGTAGCTCAGGACATCAATTGACTGGGAGGTCCTAGATTCAAGTCTTGATGGTGGCATGATTTTTGACACAAACTACATTGCTAGGTCGAATTCTGCCTCTGGCTACTCTGATCGGTAGTTTTCCATTGTTACTCTGATCCGTAGTTTTCCATGCTTACTCCGATCAATACTAGGCTAACGCCAGAGTACCAACGCTACCAAATGGGCCACAGACTGCGCGCCACCTTTCCTTCCTTTCTTGTTTTATCCTTGCCTCTTTCATACACTTGCAGGCACTACACTGACACACATGGCGGAAGACCGATCGAAAGCTTATAGCTTCTCCCGACTAGAGCGGTGCCCCGCTAGTGGGCGATATCTGGTTCGGGACCACATGTCCGTTAAACAGCTCATTTCCCACCGAGCAAGGTCCCCCTTTCGCCCTTTATATATATATATATATATATATATATATATATATATATATATATATATATATATAAAGTCGCGTTTGTTACACCATTTATAACTCAAGAACGGCTGGGGCAGTTCCAAGCCGGCAGCGGTGCAGGTCGGACGTGCCAGCTGCTTCCCGTTCTCCCCAAGTGAGTTATTATAGACGGTGATAGTGTGTGTCCGCGTGTGCAGTGAAAGTCCCGCCTTCGATCAGTGCAGCGACTACGGCCACGGCCTCGGTTACGGGGCCACCAGGGTGTCGGAAGAAAACTACATCAACACCAGCGGACCTGAAATACAGCTGGCTGAATACCACCAGCAACAGAGACAACTGCTAATCGATCAATACCAGTGCCAAATCCATCAACTGCAACAAGACCTCCAAGAAGCACAGCTTAAGTTTCAACGCTATGAACAATCGACGCAACTTTACAATTATCGCAATTATCAGTTATCGCAAGCAGATGACACTGAAATGCTAAAGCCACGTTCCTCGAAGAACAGTGTAATTCCATCGTCGTCAACAAATCAGGTACAGTGCAATTCTAGTTTCCTACCTGAATGGCAAATTGTTCGCTCTGCTAAGCGTAAACGATGTGACAGCGGTGGTATAGTAACCCCACAGCAAGCTCCAAATACGAGTGAAATAAAAAAAAGTAACAGGTTCGAAGCATTGCAAAGCACTGGAAACAACTCCAACGACACGGAAAAGACACCACAAGCAAACGATATGAATGAAGATACAGCTCCAACAAAACCTCCGCCTATATTTATTCCTAATGTCATAAAAGTGTCATCGTTCACACAGTCACTACGTGAAGCTATCGGGAAAAAATAAATTTACATATAAAACGTACAACAATGAAGTAAAAGTCAACCCAGAGAAAATAGAAAGCTACAGAGCAGTTATAAAACTCCTAAAATTAAAAAAAGGCAATGTACCACACACACCAACTAAAAAAAGAAAGAGCATTTTGTGTTGTCCTCAGGCACGTACACCTATCTGTTGAAACAGAGAGTATTTAAAGTGAACCTGAACTAGATCACAAAGACAAAAACATTCACAACATTCATCATAGAGTGACAAAAGACCAAACATGCCTTTTCTACGTCAACCTAGAACCACGACGGAATATCGCAGATATCTACAAAATTACTACATTAATGCACGCCCAAGTCAAGTTCGAACCGTCGTATAAAAAGAAAGAAATAGTGCAATGCTATAGATGCCAACATTACGAGCATACTGTAGCGTCACGGCTTGGCAGCAGCAAGCCGAGTGCAAGGTAGAGGGTTGGGGGATCTAAAAATAGACGCCCGAACAAAAATGGGACTTTCCAACAGGAAATGGTCCGCAGGCCAGGCAGCGCCAGGGAAACGCTCTTTCCACCGCGCGGGAATGGGGAGTAGTGACGTAGGAGGTCAGGTGACCTGAACCTATAAAGATGCCGCGGCGAGACGGCGCGAAGGGGTAACGTTCCTGGTTTCCTCGTGGCTAGATCACAAAAACTTTGTCCGCCCAGGCTGGTGCGGAGTGCCGATGGCACGTGGTTGTTCGACGAGTTCGGACAGGGTGATGTGTTCTTCAAACACATTCGGGCAGATCGTCAATCTGCCGGGACATACCAGGTGCCAATTTGCGAGGCGGCATAGCAGACCGGTCGCAGGCGTCGCCGCAAGGCGCATGTAGGGAGAGGAGGACTGCAGTGGTAGCTCTGCAAAGCGCCTTAGAGTGAGAGTTGTAAAAATGTACATTGTGTAAATAAAACTTGTATATACTCACTCGTGTCTGTTTCCTTGTGGTGTAGATCACTACACACGACGTTACAATAGACGTGCGTACTGCAAACGAAGTCTTAGATGTGTGAAGTGCGGAGAAGCACACCTTACCGAAATGTGCAAGAAAGATAAACAAAACCAACATGTGCACTTTGCGGCAAGGGACATCCAGCAAACTACAAAGGCTGCAGAGTATACAAAGAACTTATCAAAAGAACGTACCCAACAAGTTATAATAGGTTATTATAGGATCCCCCCCCCCAAAAAAAAAAGCTATGGAAGAGTTTCCAGGACTAAACTCAGAGTGCCCGTCGGATCCCTTGCGTAATACTAACACCCAAATAAAAAATGTTCGAACGTATACCCAAGCTCTAAACAATCAATCAGTAGATATCAGAAATGTAATACATGAATCATTTTCAAGATTTGAAAAAGTACTTAAAAAGCAAGCAGAACAGATAAGTTCAGTACTAAATCTACGCACGATTCTTATTTCAAAAATAAATTGAATTTCTATAATTTACTTTACTATCGTGGCATTACAAGATAGCAACATGGAATGCAAATGGCCTCTTACAGCACAAACAAGAATTCATTTTATTCCTTCAGAATTATAAAATTGACATCATGTTAATTAGCGAAACTCATTTCACCAAGAAATCTTATTTGTCAATCCCTGGCTACTTGACCTACAACACACAACATCCAGATGGCACTGCTCACGGAGGAACTGCCATTATTATACGGTACAAAATCAAACATCATGAACTAAAAGAATACAACTTTGAATACCTGCAGACAACCACTGTCCAACTTCAAGATCTATGCGGCCCCATCAACATAACTGCAGTGTATTGTCCACCTAGGCATAACATTTCAGAGGCAATGTTTGAAGCATTCTTCAACAATATCGGAACAAGATTCATTGTGGGTGGCGACTACAATGTAAAACATGTGCACTGGGGCTAAATACACCAAAAAGAAGATGCCTTTACAACTGTGTTCTTAGAAATAAACTTACAGCAGGGTCTACTGGAGAACCGACATATTGGCCTGACAGAAACAAAATACCGGACCTTCTAGACTTCTACATTATTAAAGGTATTTCAGTCGATAAAATCCGTATAGAACCAAATTATGACATGTCGTCAGATCATTGCCCTGTAAAACTGACCGAAGTGTAACAAAATTCTCCACCGCCAAGACTCCAAAACAAATTCACAGCCTGGGAGAAATTTCGTGAAATTGTGGATAGTAGATTACTAGCAAATGTGCCACTGCATAACTCGGAAGATATCGAAGAAG